GAGCTTGTGATTAGTGCAATGGAGTATGGGAAATGTAGTCCAGGGTGATGTGTAACAGTCTGTGTGGTGTGAGAGTCAATATCATGGGAGGGCAACCTCTGGTGGCAAGTGGATGGAAGTTCATGGACCGGATTCGTGACAATAATGCCAGTTACCTTATAAAATTATTTTGACAGTTGCAAAAGGAGTGAGTACTATGGAGGATTTAATAGCAGAATTGTCAAGAAACTGTTAATTATTTGTTCTGTGAAGTTGGCTAAATTGTCCTTTGAAGGAGGGACTACTTTTCTAGGCGGATGAATTTCTAAATTTCTAGTTATGTGTTACCAATGTAACTTATGTATGTATGTATGTATTTATTTTTGGAAATGGCCCTTTGCATTTACTTGCCTGTATCATCGAAAACTTACCAGCTTTATGAAACTAAAAGACTGGATAACTTCATACTTAAGTGTATTTTAATGTTTATACCACATTCTTAAATAATAATAATAATAATAATAATAAAGAGATGAAAGTTAAACAAATTTTCTCTTGTAATCAACATTACGCCACAAATGTTAAAATGTCTGGAACATTCCTTGACAAATTACTTTGGATTATTTGTAAGAACAGATGCAAAATCAAATTGAGTTGTACAGCTTATATCCTTACAGCCCATAACCGAACATATTCAAATTCATACTGAACTGATATAGAATTCTGCAAAAGTCTAAGATGGATTTTCCAAAGCCTGAGATGAATTTGACATTTAACTGTTGAAATTAGCATAACGTCAAGCATAACACTTTGTGACTTAGACATTATTTCAAGAAGGTATCACTTAAATTCCCCTATATATCTTCGCAAAGTTCCTCAACAATTAACATGCAGAACCTAACGAATCATAAATAATAGAGAAATGTTTTGCTCTGACCCAGTCAGAGCCTCAAGGGTTTCAAACTTCCCCCATTATAACTGAGCTAAACCCGATAAACTTCACTGGAATCCTTCGGCTGGATCTCTGTGTCTCTGTCATGTTTGCTGGGGTAAACCTGGACGGGACACATGCCTCGAGACCGGACGAGCTGCCAATACTCTGGTCATGTGACAGTGACTGCTGTCTCTACACTGAGATCTTGTCAATACACGCTCATGTTGACATGCTCTGCTCATTTCCCTACAGGAGGCGGGTAATTGTTATTCTTTGCTGCTGTGTTCTTCATATGCTGCTGCACTCCCTTTTCCCGAATATATTTATTATATTATATTATATTATATTATTATAAGTGTATTGCTTTACACATATGTTTTTAAAATACATTAAAATTGTCTATTAAAAAATCATATTTTTGGATCGTGGTAATGGTTAATTGTGAATTGCCCTCTATGCTGTCATAGCTGAGTTCAGCTTTATAAGTTTTCAGGTTGCTCCTTTAGTCATCAGTTGACAGGTCAAGGCTCCTGTGTGCATGTGTTTGTGTGTTGCTCTAATGTAATACTGCCCCCCGGTGTCTGTTTACTGAACTAACACGTGTTGTGAATTATAAAATATAAGGTCTATCCCCACTTTACGTTGCATAGCAGACCTAAAGGAAATATTAACACTGAAGGATGAAATATAGAATGCAGAGAAAGCAGTGTGACATGCTAAAGTATATTTCCATTAATGTTTTTAAACATGTTCTAATTCTTGAATATTTATTATAACGTAATTTTATCACATCTGTATTTGGACCATTTAGCTACAATAAAATAAAAATAAACAACTTTTTCTCTAGGTCAATAATCTTGATGTCAGCCTTAATAATAATAATAATAATAATAATAATAATTTTACATTTTGATAATTAACAACAATAATACTTATTATAGAATAATACATTATTGTAAATAATTAAAATGATAGATAGATAGATAGATAGATAGATAGCTGCCGTTTTGGCACAAGACGAAAGTTGTATATGTGTAAAGGAGCGATCCATTACTGCTGCAACAGGAACACTGTCATCCCGAGAGTCAGATCAGCACCGAAAGGAGATTTAAGACTTCAGAGTTCACATATATAACATAAAACTGTTATTATAGTAGTTGTGCTAATTCCTCTAAAGGCTGTCGGATGTAGGATTCAGACTTTAGCGTGAGCAGAGTATATATTTCTGCAGCATGTTTACAGCGTGTGCAGTGTGCACATTTTCTGCTTAGTTAGAAAACCGGAACTGGAAGAAAACCGGAAGCCACACTTTGAATAAAATCCTTTCTGTCTAATCCTTTGATCGCAAACTTATACATATACATCTATAAAAACAGTATACTGTTATGGGCTGTAGTTATAAATACATTTTTCACAATACATTTTTCACACAAGTCGATATCGATAATTATCACGATACATTTCTTTCTTTCAAGTTTAAAGGCAGATTTTTGCTCCCAAGTGAAAGTTGTAGAAACCAGACTGTAAATTGTGGTTTTAAACTACTCTTTATAGTCAGAACATGACAAACACTTCACATTCGTGAATTCTTTACACTTTTCCTGAATCTTACAAAAATAATTGCTCTAGTTCTCCAAATTGCCACAAAGAACCCTTACATTCAAAGACAAATCACATCACAAACCAGCTGTTTTATTTCATGGTAAACTTATGTGAATATATTTAATGACTTCCTGTCCAGCATTAATTTGAACCCCACTAACACACACTCCTGCAGTAGAAAATGCATTTACACCCGCCACTCCAAATGTGCCTTTGGTAAACTGCAATCAATCAAGTTTCTTGAGCTCAGCTCCTAAAACCAAACACACAGAGAAAACTTGCAATGGAATAAAGTGCATGATTTAAACAGAGCCGTGGTCCATAATACCACCTCCTGCTGACCCCTACACACATCACATTTACTCCTAATTCTGTCCTTTTTCACAAACGTAACCTTTTCACCATATGCTAAGACAAGGAGAGACAAAAAAAGTGTCATTTATTGTTTAGAGAGGAGATTCATACCATAAAAGAAAGAATGTATTCTGCTAATGTAATGCTTAGTAAATGTAACAAAAACAACACACTTGTGTGGAAAACTAAAATCTTGCTACATAACTTTATCCTTAATTATCCCTTTTTATAATGTGACATTCTGAAAATTAAAAGTGCTAGGGAAAAAAAAAAAAAATCCACATTCTCTCTGTACAGGTTCTTGTAAACGTCTCCCTTTAACCAACATATTATTAGAAAGTTTCCAAAGTCTCTTCACACACCCCACATATTCACTTGTTTCACTGCTATTTTTGGCCTTTCACCCACCAGTGTTGACACATGCTAACTTTTTATATTTTGTGATTTAAGAGCATCATTAATTGGCATAACAAAAGCAACTTCCTCTTCTTGCCGTGGAGCGGTTTCTGATGTCCACATACAGACCCTTAAAACCTCTAAAACAGTTTTTTTTTTCCATCTCAAAAACCACAGGCATGAGGAAATGTTAACCTTGAAAAACAATGACAGTTCTTGCATATTCAGGTCAATAAAGTTTAGATACTCTAACACTCAAATACAGTAAAGCCCAGGATGAGGTGATGGAACAGATTTACTAATGATGGATTTATATTTAGTCTATTAAACCGGCTGCATGAGTTGTTTGAGGACCACTGACATCTGACATCAGGTGCATCACAATACAATACTGTCCATTTCTGTGGCAGCGGTCTCTGCATCACTTCCTCTGGGCTGTGTGTCTTCCTCCTCCACGTCGGCCCCGTTGGGCTCCTGCAGCGAGTGCTGGGTCAGGTCCTGGCTGATGGTGTGGCAGCGGGTCAGGCTCCTGCTCGGAGTGTGTTGTGACTGCGGGTGGCAGAACGGGCCGCTGCTGTCCACTGTCTCTCCTCTCGCCAGTCTGCGTCTGTCACTCTGACCGTCTGCCGTCTGAGATCACCGGGTCAATCAGGAGTCAGGTTAATAGTATATTCAGTGTCGTAGTACAGCACACTTTTCAATACAAAAAAATAAAAAAACCTAACACCTTGCTACATAAAGACCAAATCCTTTTTACATTTTATTACACAAATTGTGACTATGGTTGGATTAATTAAGGAATAAATAAATGGTGATTATGGCTGGGTAAGATAGAGAGGTACCTGGTCTAATACTCCTATGGTGGTCGCTGCTCTGTCGGTCCTCTTCTGAATGCATCAAATTGCTAAAGTGACAGTACATGCATTTCTTACATTACGAAATATTTCCATTTCAAATAAATGCTGTCCTTTTGAACTCTTTGAATGCAGCACAACTGCTCTAACATCAAAAACAGTTCTGGAGGATCATGTGACACTGGAGACTGGAGTAATGATGCTGAAAATTCAGCTTTGCATCACAGGAATAAATTACATTTTACTATCTATTCACATAGAAAGCAGCTATTTTAAATTGTAATAATATTTCACAATATTACTGTTTTTACTGGTTAAAATAAATGCAGCCTTGCTGAGCAGAAATGACTTGATTAAAAACATTTAAAAATCTTCAGAGAGAACATTTTTTTCTCAATGTTATGTCAAATCAAGTCAAGTCACCTTTAGTTATATAGCGCTTTTAACAATACTGATTGTGTCAAAGCAGCTTTACAGTATCAAATAGGAAAATAGTGTGTCAATGCAAAAGGACAATAGTAAACACTCGATTTTCAGTTAACTGCAGTTCATCACTGAATTCAGTGAGGCCATCGTCCAGCTCAGTTCAGTTTAAATAGTCTCTGTGCAATCAAGTCGACGATATCGTTTGATATTAAGGTAATAAACAAGCTATTAATTGACAGTAAATGTACCTTTGTTTCGTATGCTCCGAGTCTTTTCTGCCACTGTTGGTATTCTCTTGCCGTTTAACTCTTTGAATTGTTGATTGTGCTGTTGGAGAAATAACAGAGTTCAGTTTAATTGCATAACTGAAATTCATAGCATTATGCATATCACGTTATACTTACTATGCTATACATCACAGCCTACTACAGCGTTTCTGGAGATGAAATAAAAGTGTACAAATATCGTTCTCCGATTCTTACCCACAATGCCCTCTGTTCCTCTGGAGTGTGGTTTGACTGGATGAATGTCCAGGGCGTCAGCACAGGCTTTCTGCAGGAGTCTCTGAATCTCTGTGTTCTGAGGACGCATAAAAACAAAGAAAAAAACATGATGTTCAGAAACATGTTCAGATGTTTTTTTTTCTATTCACTGAGAGCCTGTCTTAATGTAAACTACATATAAAGTAGATATGACTCTAAATTGAAAAGAAAGAAAGAAAACACACCTTTCCGGCGGTCTCGTGAGCGCAGTCGAGGGCCGTCCGCTGTCTCTTGTTGCGCAGGTGCACTAAAGCCCCTCTGTGCAGCAGGAGCTCCACCAGCTGGATGTGTCCCCCCCTCACCGCCTCATGCAGACCAGTGTTACCGTGATTATTAGCCAGATTCACCAGTGCACCGCTCTGATCCACATTGAGTGTGTCCAAGAAGCATTCATTTACCCAAAGAATATCAAAGAACAAATCATTTATTTTATATATATATATATATATACATACATACACAC